AATAGATATGTCCTTTTTGAATGGACAATTGTGTCACTACAATCAACAGAGCTCTGTTGATTGTTGGCTCTGTTGATTGTAGTGACACAATTGTCCATTAAAAAAGGACATATTTATTCTAAACGAGTGCTGGTGACCTGTTTCTTTTACTTCGTATTTTGCACGGTGCCATCCGTGATAGTCATTGCGAGCACCACCGTTCTTATTTGGCCAGGACTGCTGTAAGGTGTGCGGAGAGGACCCCCACCACCTGAAAACTGGTGTAATACAGTTTATTAATCAATGAACATACAAGCTGACATAAAATACTACTCACATGGTAATCACTGAATGAAAATAAATAAGTAAATAAACAAACAACACTGTGATAAAGTCCTTTTTTTTTTTTTTAAAGTAACTCTTTCGTCAATTACGCCATCCAGTGATGTAGATCCGTCAGGATGAAGGGCACCCCCCAAAACAAAACACACCAACTGCTGAGACGATCCACTCCTGGAGCACTCTCACTTCAAATTTCGCCAGTCGTCACCTGAATGTAAACAAAGGGTTGTGGGATCCCAGGTGCTGCCATTGTCCAAATATGGTCATGATAGTTGCTATTAGATTAAGCTGGACTGACAAATCCATCACAAGTGTTCCAGGACCAGTAGAACCTTTTGAATCCCGGATTTTTGTAAGATGGACTGAGACTGTTATCTTTCATTACACCACAGAAATGAAATATAAAGACAGACTTGTTTTCTCTGAGCAGCAGTTCGGCTTTTTTCTCTAGTTTTCATAAATCGGCCCTTTTATTCCAGAAGCAGAAAGGGATTTCATAAACGGCAGCATATTAAATAGTTCAGTCTTCTGTCTATTCTGGCGGCTCAGAGCTGATCAATGTGACTTTCATTGTGAGGAACAAACACGGAATACCCCCATGGAGAAGTGAACAGTGTACCGCGGTGACAGCGCCCGCAATCATTACATGTCAGGAAATGAAACAGCAGTAATTTATGATGCAGATAATACACACTGCAGTGAAAGATTCATATCACGTTAAGCTTAAGCATGACATAAGTACATATTCATATTTGTTTTGTTTTAGTCTATAGGGTATGTTATTAAAGCAGTTAATCACACATTCACTGAACATGCACTACAAGTGGATAATCCTGGTGTATGTTTTGAATAACAGTGATTAATTCACTGCCTGTGAACGTTTGGTGAAAGACACATTTACTACTTTATAAATATGCCTCACTATATGTCTACCATTAAATTAAAGAAACCTATAATAGTTAAAGTGACATTGAAGGTAGAACTCCCCCCCACCCCCCACTAATGTTGCTTTAAGGACTTCATGCCCCCTGATCCGAGCTTATTTTTTTTAAAATACAATAAAAAAGCAAGACCTGTAAGGAACTGTTGCAGCAGTTGCAGCAGAAAAATCAGGTCTACTTCTCTGTGCTGTGTGGCAGAGCTGTGTAAATCTCCGAAATACAAATCCTTTGCCCGGTTAAACAGCCCTCATACATACATTTCATCTGTGTAAAAGCATGTAGCCAGGTAGCCAATGCTCCTTATAAATGACTGTGCCTAACTTTTGAGGTTCTCCTTGGTTGTTGTCAATGAAGCTGGCTTCTAAAAAAAATACTGCTGGCTCCTGAATTGGGCAGACTGGCTCCTGAATTATATATTAATTTGTCCACCCTTTGCCATGTTTGCATGAAGTTCAACTTTAAGTAGAGGACACCATCAGGGAAGTTGATCTTAGCCCCCTACCCCCATCACAACAATTTCTAGTCCATTCAAGTGTAACAGAAACCAAACCTTTCCCCGTTATGGAAATTCACCCTCTTTATTTGTCCTGGTGACCATTATCACTAATGGAAAGACAATCCCCAAATTTTGGTTGTAACCAGAACATAAATAGATGGGAAATCCTCCAACGGGGCACTAGTTCTGGTGACCCTGCTGACCACCAGGGATTTCCCTTTCTTTGGAGGGATTTTCCCTCACTTCCTGTTGTGGCTATCATACAGGAATTGAAGGGAAATCTCCCCAATGGGACACATATGGCTTCCCTTACCTAAAAGTTTTGGCTTCAGTTCTACTTTAATTTGATGGGAAGCCATGTTGGCCTTAGGCTAAGCTAAGTCTTTGATCTTGATAACTGAATATACAGCCACATAGCTCTATAATCCGCTTGTTTATTGTACTGAAACTCAAAGTGTCATTCGAGGGCTGCGGTGAAACAATTACAATGCAACCACCAAAGCACATACTAAATATGACCAGTCACTGGAAGAAGATCCTTTGAGAAAAGGCATATAATATTATAGCTGATGGGAATCTGAAAAATGCTGGTGGGATGTGGAATCTAGTTTTCATGTTCAGTACCTCCAGTGTGAAATATTCTTTATTGTCTTTTTTATTACTTTCCCACTTTTCACATAGCCTCCTCCTATGATCGCTCTGCCAAAACTAATTAAGACTGCTGGATTTGCTGTAAGCGCTGAACCAGGTCTTATGATCCAGAAATATTAATATCAGAGAACAAGGTGGCAAAAGCACATACGAAACAATGGAATACAGGAAAATCAATATGGTTTTCATATCAGGAACAGAAAGGATACATTAAAGTATGTGCATGGTGCAATTTTAGAAAAGAAAAAAAAAACAGGCAGAAATAAAGTACAATTTATACAGTAGAGTTCTCGTAGCTTTACTAGTGGAAATTCAACATAAACCTGTTAGAAGCAACAATGGCTTGAGCTGTACGTGTGACTGTGGATCAGATTGATGGATTTGTCCTGTTCCTCTATAGGTGCATAAATATACATGCTTATATTGTCTTGGACAGGGACAGGCAGCTTACTAGACATAGGTCAAGAGCAGCCCCTAACCTCACCAAATGTCTACATAATATTTAGCATATATACTTCTACAGACAACTGTGAGAGACTGGGGCTGTGCTGCAGAAGACTGTGAGAGACTGGGGCTGTGCTGCAGAAGACTGTGAGAGACTGGGGCTGTGCTGCAGAAGACTGTGAGAGATTAGAGCTGTGCTGCAGGAGACTGTGAGAGACTGGCCAGTTCTGCAGGAGACTGTCAGAGACTGGGGCCATACTGCAGGAGACTATCAGAGATATGGGATATTATATGACACTGCTAGCTGCTAGCGATCACTGCCGCTACTGTCCCTATAAATAACTGTTCCCACTTTGGTGCTCCCTACAGACCCTTTAAAAACTACTGTACTTACATTGGATATTTTCTGCAGCAAGAACAACTATTAAAGAGAACCTGTCACCAACTTAAAATATTGCAGGGAAAAGTAACAAAAAATCAAGTATTTTAAATGCTATCATGCAGAGTTTTTCCTTTACATAAACGATATTGATCCACTTGCTAGAAAATGAGACTACTCCAGGAAGAGTCAAATCCCTAGCACAGCCCCCTCCCTCTTCTGGGAGTGTCTTATTACCCCCTGTGCAGGCCCAGCTCCTCCGCCCCTCCTCTCACTTGCCTACATAACCTTTTTGTTAGCTCCCAGGGGGAAGAAGAGCAAAGGAATACTACAGAGTTTCACTTAAGTCAGATGGTGTCCAGAAACTCTTCTCCCCATACTGTGCAGGTCACATGTTGGTCAGGTACAAGTAAGCACTAAGGCATGGAAAATACTAACTACTGGTTTCTGAAACTTGAGGGCCACAAAAAAGTACCATGGAGCTACATGCAGCCTTCAAGTTGCAAGTAGGGCTCCAGGGTCCTAGGTTTGCATATATATGCACTATGCTGACATCCTTACCATGGATGTTATACTGGAACAGCTCTCCTGTCATGCCATTGGTGTCCTCTCATTCTGAAAATGTTATTTACCTGGCTGTCATGTTGAAACTGACTTCAAAACTGTCACTGACCCAGGGCAAGGATGCAGATACTGTAAAGTCAAAATAACAGTCAGATGGCTGGTATTCTCTTCATGAAAGGTTTACTTTTAGTCTTTTGTGGTGCTCCAATAAATCATCTGGTACACAGCTGCAGTCCAAACAATGAATCTCAAGACGTCATACTCAATGCACATCAAAGTCTAAAATGAACTTTGGCCTTTGTGTGCTGCTCAGGGGGTCCATTATTCATACCTCACGACCTTCTGAGGTGGTGTGTGCTAAAAGGGATGCCTTTAGTACTCACCTGTTCAGCAATGGACACACCCCTGCGGACCATAACAAATTAAAGCACAAGAACGGTCCCTTTGACCAACTGGGGCTTTACTTATACCAGCATTAGCAATGAAGGAATAACCAGTGCAATAATATAAAGCAGGGGTATGCAACCTTAGCATGCCAGCTGCTACAGCATGGGAAACTACAAATCCTGTAATTCCTCTGCCTGTACCCCTCTCTCAGCAGCACTGACAGTCATCTCATTAGATATTGCTATCACTCTGAAGTTGGAGTGGTGAAGGCTGTGGTTACAGTTTCTTTGGGGTACTCCCCAGATGTATAGATGTATGGGAGGGATCTATTTAATAATGAGTTTGTGTCTTCTTTTATGTAGTCTTGCATATTGGTGAACTTAAAGTGTATGTTTAGCCTAAACTTTTCTTTTAGTGCTAGAGTAGAGGAGGATTAGGACCCTGTCAGTTTTTTAATGCTGTTTTGGTCCCCAATATAAGGATTCAACTACTCTAATTGTCCTGGTACCAGTGTCACCAAGACAGACAATGAGTGTTAATAGTTTTTACTATACATACACTTTCACTTGCTTTAATAGAAATTCATTGCAAAGAACAATACAGTGCCAGAGAAGCCTCTAAATGAAGCTGCCAATCTCAGGGTTGCTTACCAGATCCTTGGCCTTGACTTCATTGATGATACAGAGAAGGAAAGCATCCATGTGAGGGATATTTGCTTCATGCCGTTAATTCCCTTTGATACGTTTAGCCGCTGCATTGTGTCTATAAATGATGTAATGGTAACAACAAGGGCTCTTTCTTTTTGTGAATTTTTCAGTTATTACAATATTTAGGGGTAAAGTAGAAGAGGTGGAGTTGCCAGTAGACAAAGTGGACATTATCATCACGGAGTGGATGGGGTACTGTCTGTTCTACGAGTCCATGCTCAATACTGTCATCTTTGCACGGGATAAGTGGCTGGTAGGTATGTGACCTCAAGAGAGGTGTTTTGTATGGTAAGCGAATGAGGATGCACTAATACTGATCAGCAGTCTGTAGTATTGTAGAGTGGTAAAATGACATTTGCATGCAGACCATCTTAGGTAATGACCACATGTGATGCTGAGCCGCCATGACTGAAAAAACTTGCAATGTCTGAATTAGCTAGAAGTAGAATAAAAAAAGGGAGAAAGGAAACAAGAATAAGAAAAGACTAAACAAATTAAAAAATGGAGTCCGTAATCCCAGTCCCGGATCGCAGGACATCCCCTACATATGTGGCAAGATGGAGGTTGGTAGTGCCCCACAGCTGGGCTATGACTCAAGCAGTGCGTGATCAAAACCCTGCAGTAAAAAGTTATCAGTCCACAGTTGCCAAGTCCTGGTGTACTTAGAGATCCTATTCAGAATGGTTGCTTCAATCTTTTCATAATTCATAGCTTGAGTAACTCTATTCTTGACCTGAGTGACTCTAAGACGAGAAGTTTTCCAGGCCTTTGCACAGTCTGTTTAGAATTTAGAGTTGTAGTCTAAATTGTGCATTAGTGGTTTCGGGCAAACGTCTATTTAGCAGTGCATGAGACATGTCTGGTAGGAACCTTTGTTTTTAAAGTAAATCTGTGTGGATAGAAATATGGATGTTTTTCATAGGGTCACTTTAATCCCACATGCCTGTTTTCAGGACCTCTGGACTGTGCATGTGAGCAGCTACATCAAATAAGACATCTCAGGATTCATTTAGATGTGCATGCTTTTAAGGTAGACCATTACTCAAACATTAAAATTTATAACAATAGAAACAATCTTGCTGAGATGAACGACTGAATAATAATAGAAAGGCTAAACTACTAGAGAAAAGCATGCTTTGGGCTCCTTCTAGTGTCTGTCATGTCAAAAAAAGATCAGGCTGCAGCACATTATAAAGCAATATATAGCCTCGCGCCGCTTCCCTAATCAATGCACCTGAGAAGCAGCAGCTTGAATCTGCGCAATCAGATAAAGAAATAAATAACAATTGAAAGCCGCGCTGTGTAAAATAGCTACAAAGTATCACAGAAAACTCATCTTAACCGTGAAACAATGTGATACAATATATAAATATTTCACAAAAAAGTAGTCAGCAGTGTGTACACATATATGTGGATGCGTAGATGCTATAAAAAGCATACACCTCAGTGAAAAAATGCCTAGCAAACATCCATGTTCATGAAACTTCAAAGTCCAACATGAAAAATAAAAGACATATAGGTGGATGAGAGATAATTGCAATCTTCCGTGACCATCACCAGAGAAATCTTTGAAATGTAAGTAGTCATTTTTTAACAAAGTATACCATTTCGTTTAAACCATTTACACAACGAGTGTTCCCATTTTTTCATTGCTACGTGAGCTATTGAGACAAATTTGCTGTTTTGAATTCCCTGGAGGCTATCAGAGTTCGTAATCGAGAGGAGGAATTACCGGGGGCTGTTCGGTGTCAGGTGCTTCCTCTACCTGGCTTCAAAATTGGAACAGCGCATACAGACACTGATGCGTCTCTGATGAAGGTGAGGTGTATTCCGTAAAATTACTCTGGTGATGGTCACGGAAGATGGCAATTATCTCTCGTCCACCTTATTTTTATCTTTTATCTTTTATTTTTCATGTTGGACTTTGAAGTTTCATAAACATGGACGTTTGCTAGGCATTTTGTCACTGAGGTGTATGCTTTTTATAGCATCTACTAGTATATATGTGTATACACTGCTGACTACTTTTTTGTGAAATATTTATATTGTATCACATTATTTCACGGTTAGGATTCATTTTCTTTGATACTTTGTAGCTATGTTTACACAGTGTGGCTTTGTTATTTCTTTAGTCACATTAGGTGACAGGAAAGATAACCAAATCTGAACTGAGTTCCTTGCCTTGCTAGGTTTGTCCATCCAAATATTTTTTAAGTGAACCTGGCATGGCCTGATTCCCAAGCAATAATACTGCTGAAGAGAAGGCACCTCTGTAAGTCCCTGCTATTAATCTGAAAAAACAACATTGCGTGTTCTTCTGTAGCCCCCTTCAATCAAAGGCCCAGGCTACAAACAGAGCCACAATTGGAAGTCAAGTTGACTTTGTCTCCTTCTGATGGTAAGTCTTGCTCCATCAGTTGACCTTCAGATGCCAGAGCTTCTTGTGGTCACTTTGCCATTTGACAGTTGAATGACAGAGGGTGAAGTTTACTCTTCAGAGGGGGCGGGGCTTAGTGTCAACTTGGCCAAAGTCAAGGCTTTGTGTGCCAGAAACCCCACTGACTCCAGGCAGTTACATTATATTTTCCCTTTATCAGCTCCTTCAATGCAGTCTTCATGCAGGTGTAGACTAGAGTACTTCTATAGTGGCAGCGTTGGCACTTCTGTATTATTTTTAATCACAGTGGAGTTCCATTTTCAAAAGAAAGGCATCCCCCTGTATAAAAAAGAACACTTTGGGCTAATAGCTTAAAAAGTAAATGATTCACCTGTAACACTCCAATTTGTGCTTTGAAAATCCCAAACCGTTCGCTCTTCAGCTGAGATGAAAGAGGCAAGTAAGCTGTAGACTTTTTTTAATACACTTAGCCCTGACTGACAATCACTTTGATTTAAAGTGACATTTTTATCTGTGTGGTCGCCCGCAGCCTGATCTCTCCTCTCAGATATTAAACAGTGCCTGACAGTATGATGGAGGATAGTAGAGGCGTGCAGGGGGTGCTTGTCTGGATTTTATATGTGAAGTTCAAATTGTGGTGTCTTTGTCAGGTGAATAGATTATGAGATCCATTTCTCCTTAATTCATCAACAGAAACCTGGAGGGCTGATGTTCCCTGACCGAGCCGCTTTGTACATCGTCGCCATCGAAGACAGGCAATATAAGGACTTCAAGATCCACTGTGAGTATGTCATTCGCATTGATGTTATCCTTGTTGCACAGTCACCAAAACGATTTCCAGGGGAACTTTGTTGCTGATTTGGTATATTTTAGACCCTTGGTTCTCAACTGGTGGGTCGTGACCCAAAAGTGGGTCGCGACCCCGTGTTCAGAGGGTAGCCGCATGCCTTCCACTTTTCTAGGTGAGAGGCTCCTCAGCCCCCCCTAGCACAGCACTGTCCATTCTTACACCGAACAGCCATTCAAAATATGTTGCTCACCGCCAAGTGTTGACATGAGGCGGGGTGGGCTGGGGGTATGGCCGCGAAGGAACTCCTTCAATACGTGCATTTCTGGGAAAATCCAAAACTATCCTTGCAGTGCAGATCCCCCCAAACTGCAATGGTTAAAAACAAGTTTTTATGTAAGGTACTTAGGTACCATTAAAAAGCAGTAATACTTACCTCATCCCTCAATCCTGCAGGCTTCCTACTGTCCATGTGACCCATCCCCCAAAGCCGCTTCCCTTTGGCACTCCATTGGTTGAAGCTCACTGTTGTTATAACGTAAAATGCAGGACCAGCAGGCCTGCCTTTTAAGTGAGGACTTCGAAAGCGCACCCACAACAGGAGTGTTAGAGAGGAGTGCTGGCTGCTGGGGAGAGAGGAATATGTTACAAATTGACGATTAAGGCCTGGTTCACACCTAGCTGTGAACCAGCTGTTGAGCTGTTTTTGTGCATTTGACGAACATTTTTTTTGCATGATTTTGCTTTGAAAAAACACGGTTTTCAATGCATAGAGAAATCTATGGAACCACACCTCGCAACAACCGCCCGAAAATAGCTCCTGCACCTTTTTGTGCGACAGGCTATTTTGCCCGCGTGATAAATCACCTAGGTGTGAACCAGGCCTAAACCTTTCAGTGTGGGGGGAACATTTATATACAGTATATATACAGTATATATAAATATACTCTGTGCATATATATATTATATATATTGTACAGGAATTTGGTAAATATCAACATGTAAACTGTATTTATCTGTTTTGTGATAACAGGGTGGGAGAATGTCTACGGATTTGACATGACGTGCATTGGAGATGTGGCCATAAAGGAGCCGCTTGTGGACATAGTAGACCCAAAGCAAGTGGTGACCAATTCCTGTTTGATAAAGGTTTGGTAATTCTCAATGCAGAAAACAATTATTTTGTGATCTTTCATATCATGTCGAAGAGAGAAACATTTCACATCACAGAATTGATTCTGTGGTATTTTATCATATTGTGTATAGTATGAGCGATTGGAACGCTCATACAGTCTAAGATCCCCATTCACACTTGCGATTAGGGCTATATGCAAATTCTGGCGGCAACAATCTGTGGATACCTGTGGACAGCATGACAGGTATGTGCAAATAGCTGCTGCCGCTCAGCCTATTTATGGAAATGACAGGCTGACGGTGGCTGCAGTTGTTTAGATATAATTCAACATCCACTTACCTTACCTGTGGTTAGGGACAGATGATGGTCTCTGGAAGCAGTCATCTGTCCTTAACTGCAGGTAATTGGTGGATGTCTGATTGCATCTGAACAGCTGTGGCTGCCATCGCGTCGGCCTGTTATTATTATGTATATGCTGAGTGGCAGCAGCTATTCACACATACCTATTATTCACATGTTTGAATGAAGCCTTAAGGTCCCCACACACCCTACGATAATCGCGGGAAATCCCGCGATCGTACGATTATCGTAAGGTGTGTGGAAGCCGTGCGGCCTCTACTACTGTAAGGTTGCACGACTTTAAACTTACGGACATGTTTCAAAACCCGCCGAGCATCGTACGATGTTCGGCGGGTCTGTAGCATGGTCGTAAGATAAAAGCCAGACGGGCCGGTGTGCGCAAGCGCACACTGCCCGTTTGGCATTGTGGTCATCGGAAGCCCGCCCCTCAGGGGGCGTGGCTTGCGATCATCGCAAGTACGATCTGCCTATGCAACATAGGCAGATCGTACGTTTTTTTAAGTACCTTACAACCATCGCAAGACAAAAGTCTTGCGATGGTTGTAAGGTGTGTGCCCAGCCTTAGAAAGATGGGCAGAAATATCCTTGAGAATAGACATGTGCGATTCGTTTCGTTCCGAATCGAAATTCGGATTAATTTTCGGAAATTCGGAGATTCGCATGCATCAGAATTCTGAATTACAGCTAAAACGAATACAAACGAATCGAAATTCGGACGAAATTTTTCGGAAATTCGGATGCTTTCACGAGTTTCCGAATGCTATTCGGGTCTGTGAGCCGAGGTGTGATATGAAAAGCATTATGACACCTCAGGTCACAGACCCGAATAGCATTCGGAAACTTACGAATAGCACTCGGGAGTTTCCGAATGCTATGTAGTATTTGACGGCTGAGAATGTCAAATGGGCAGACGTCACGGCTCGCTCCGCCCATCTGTTGAAGATCGGGCTGAATGTCATTTTGCGGCGAGTTTTCGTCGGGTTTGGGTGGTCGTCGTGCAGCGTGACTTTTTTTATTTCGGCGGGGGTCGTGCATCGTGATTGACGCTGGATTACATCGATGGAGCCATTTCTTTTTTTTTTTTTAATTAAAGGAATAGTAAAAAATAGAGTCTGTTTTTTTTTTCAATTAAAGGATTTTATCTAAAAGTCTGGACTTTTTACTATTTGATTTAACCCTTTAGTGAATGGGTAGGGGTACAAGTACCCCTTACTCATTCACAAGGGGGGAGGGCGGCATCTGGGTGCCCCCTTATTTAAAGGGGTACCCCGATGCAAATAAGCCCCCTTGCCCGCAGACCCCCACAACCACCGGGTCAGGGTTGTGAGGAAGAGGCCCTTGTCCCCAACGGCAAAAAAAAAAATTCTAATGTCACTTTGCTGCTAACGAAATTTCGTCCAATAAACAAAATTTCAACCGGACTACCGCTAACTAATTTCGTCCGAATAAATTGCGGACCCGAATCCGAAAAACGACTACTGCTATCGAATTTCGTCCGAATCCCGCAACTAATTCAATTGCGGAACCGAATCCGAAAAACAAAATATGCAAAATCTGAATCAAAACGAAACTAAACTAAACACATTTTTTGCTGGTGCACAGGTCTACTTGAGAATGATTTGAGAGATATCTTCCAATCATGTCAAGTCTCTGAAACTGCAGAACTATGCATAATACTTGGCTCCTGAAGGTGGAGCTGGACTACACTGCATGCTGACCGCAGGTCACAGCCCCTAAGTTCACCCTACTCTGCTGACAGCAAGTCCAGAGGTCAGGGCAGGCTGCAGTAACAGATACCAGGAAACCGTTTAAAGGTCAGGGAAGGCTGAAAACACGGATACCAGGAGACAAGCCAAAGGTCGGGCAGGTTGTAAACCAGGTTTTCCAGGGGCAAGTCAAAGATCGTTACACAGATCAGCAACAAGAATGGCAGCTTCAAAAGCAACCAGGAGCTCGGCGGCTAGCTTGGAAATTGTTGCTTGGGCAGCAAGCTGCGAGCTGCACTGAGTTTAAATAGAGTGAGCAAGAGGGAGGAACCACTGGATTGGCCACAAGCTGACAGCACTTGATTGGCTGTGAAGCTGCATAAGAATCAGCAAGTGAGATCGGGCAATATCTAAAGCTGCCAGATTAGTGCAAAAGCAAGGTACAAGAGCACATGTAGTGGAACTACAAGCAACAGAACAGCTAACTGCAGATCTGTGACACACGTTAGTAGAACTACAAGTAACAGATCAGCTGCAATGCTGATCTGTGACAGTACTGACAACTAGACATGTGCGTTTCGTACCGAATCGAAATTCTGACGAATTTTCGGAAATTCGGACATTCGGATGTATCCGAATTCCAAATTACAGATATAACAAATCCGAATTTCCGTTTCCGAAATTCGGTAGCGGTAGTTCGTTCGAACGTTCGTTTAGTTTTCGTTCCTTTTTAAGTACCTTACGTTTCGTTTCGTTCGTTGAAGAAAAACATTTTCCCCCTCAAATGTCACTTTGCTGCAAACGAATGAACGAAACGAATAAGAAACGAAAACGAAAAGAACGTTCGAACGAACTGCCGCTACCGAATTTCGTCCTTATCTGAATTTCGAATCCGAATTGACTTTCACACCCGAATCCCGAAAAACGAAATAACACAAATCCGAATTTAAAACGAAACTAAACACATTTTTTGGCAGTGCACATGTCTACTGACAACTTCTATCACTGACTATATTCTATTTGTCGCAATCACTTTTGGAAACTGGAGACAGAATATTGTCATGACCTAACCACAAAGAACACCTACCAGCAATTTAAAATCTTAAATCAGGCAGTTTTAAGCGTAACTTTTTCTTTGGAAAACATCCCTCCACAATAAGGATCATTGGTTCTTGTTCTTGAAGTATTTTTGGTGTACCATGTTGACTTGAAATTATTCATTTATTTATATCTGTAACACTTTAAAAAAAAGTAGGTAATCTGAGTGATCTTATCCATTCCTGCAAGGTGGCAAATAAGTCCATTTTCCTTTTTAATAGGAAATTGATATATACACAGTGAAGCCGGAGGAACTGGCATTTACTGCAGCTTTCTGTCTACAAGTACAGCGGAATGATTACATCCACGCTCTTGTCACCTATTTCAGCATTGAGTTTACAAAATGCCACAAGAAGACTGGATTTTCTACAGGTACAGTTTTTTTTCTAACTTTATGCTTAAAGCAATCCTCTGCTCATATCATTAAATGCCAACCACTGCCCCAATGGTAATGATTGTATATATTGCTAGTACCCTGAAGATAGCTTTAATAATCTTATTACATTCCTGATGCATTAAAACTAAATATGTTCAAATTCCTACAGTTCATTCTTTTTAGAAAGCAGACACATCCTGAGTAGAAAAGCCTGTCGACTGCCAGCATGCTGAAGAGAAGGACCCCTGCTCTCTGTCTCTCTGGAGGCAGTGATCTGTCTTCGGGCACTTCATGATGGGCCCGACCTATTGCTCACCAACCAGCAAAACTCCTGCTGTCTGCTGATTGGAGAGCTCTGGCATTTACTCAGTGCTCTGTGCCCCAATAGCTTATTTGTAGTGGAAAGGTGACACTATGGGTCTAACTGACCCCTAATGTCCCCTTAAAGAGAACCCTTTCACCACTAATATGCTATCACATAGGGGGCTTGTAATCCCCCTATATGATAGCAATTAAGTAAAGTAAAAGAAAAAAAAGGTTAAAAAAATAAATAAGAATAAATCAAATAAATGTAAAAAGATTTTTTTTTAAAGTCCCCGCCCCCGCAAGCTTATGTTTAATGTAAACACGCGTCCGGTGTTCCTAGGTACGAAAACAACGATCCCGCTGCACATGTTAGGTATCGCTGCATGCGCCAGAGTGAGAGCAATCATTCTAGTGCCAATATTCATGGGTATCTCTAAACTAATCGCCTGTATGGGCTTTTAAAATGTCGCCTATGGACAATTTGAGGTACCGTATTTTGATGCCGTTTCACGGACACATGGAATTTTTAACCTGGGCATGTTGGGTATTTATTTACTCATCATAACCTCATCTTTTATAGGCTACAAAAATGGGTATTATATTGTGTTTTTGGGCACTAAAATTAACTTAAGTGCATTTTTTACATATTATTAGGTTTGATAAAGAGTTGCGCCAATATTGTGCAACATAAAAATTTGCAACTGCCACCATTTTATTCTAAAGGTTTTTGCTTTCAGAAATCATATAATATTTGGGAGTTTTAAGTAATTTTCAGGGCTACAACGTGTATTATAACATACACTTTGACAACGAAAAGTTAAAGGAGAACTATTGGGAGAGTAAAATGTACTCCTCCCAGCAGTTTAGTAGTATAGCTCGAGAACTGAATGATCACAAAGCACTGATTGCTCAGCTCACGGCTTCTCCCTGCAGAGAACGGTGACCGTCATTCACCACTCCCCGCAGGGATTCCCCACTGCCCTCTTTCTGTTCCTCTAGTGGTTATTGGAGGGACAGACAAGGGAAGGGGCGGGCACAGCTGGGTCTGGCTGAGCCAGCTGTCAATTTAGGTAGTGGGGTGGATCCCGACAATATTGTTGGGAATTTTCCCAGCTGCAGCACAACTCTGTGCTGTCAGCATATAGCGGGCAGTAGCCTGTTATAAGCTGACTTTGGGTCACAGGAGGACATTAGTAAATGTCCTCCTGTGACACAAAACAGAACTAAAGCCAAAATAAGGTTTGGCAATAGTTCTCTTTTAAGTTCCAATGAAAACCTGAGAGAGAGGTTTATTCCTCACCACTCCATCCAAGACAAAAAGGTTTTGGTTTTTGATACACTTTAAGTTGGGGAAGACAAGAAAGGATTACTGTGTATGAAAGTAAAGTAATCTTTTATGTTGAAATGGCATATTATTTAACCACCTCAGGGCCGGCCGTTGTAAAAAAACGGCCGGCCGAGAGGTCTCTAGATCCGAGAGGGCGTCTTTAGACGTCCGCTCAGACACGCCCCCTCACGCGCGCTGCTCCGTGGTCCCCCCTGCAGTTGTCCCGCTGATCCCGGGCTCCGCTGTGCCCGGTGCGAGCCCGGGATCAGCATGTCGCCTGTGTCACAGGGGATCAGAGAGAGCTCGGTACACGAGCTCCCTCCGGTCCCCTCTCCTCTGCAAGAATGCGGAAGTGTTGTATAATACATCACTTCCGCATTCTTGTGTCACTCTCCAGCTTCAGAAGCTGGAAAGAAGCTGATGGAGCAGATCTCTGCTTCATCAGCTTCTTTTGGGGGGTCCTAGGTGACATTAGGGGTCTTGGAGACCCCTGATGTCTCCATAAAGAGGACCTGTCACATATTTTGCTATCACATAAGGGGGTTTTATTAGCCCCCGTATGTGATAGCAATAAAGTTTAGTGGAAAAAAAAAAGGGAAAAAAAATTTAAGTCCCCCCCAAATTTAAAGTTACACATAAAAAAGAATAAAAAAACAAAAATATTTTTTAAAGTCCCCACCCATACATACACGCATGCAAACATGCGTCGGGGGCGCATACGTGCAAAAAAGACGATTGCGCCCATTACGCCGCACATGTTACATATCGCCACGAACGTCGGAGTGAGAGCAATAAGTCTAGGGCCATCAATCACTGATAACACTAAACTGATGAGCGGTAAAAGCTTTTAAAGCGTCACCTATGGCCAATTTTGGGTATGGCAGTTTTTTGCGATTTCGCGGGTGCGCGCAATTTTAAAGCTTGACATGTTTGGTGTCTATTTACCCGACGTGACCCGATCTTTTATATTTTACCAAAAAACTGGGTAGTAATAATAAATGTTTCCTAACATAATGTAAAAAAAACGTTTTTTTTTCAAAATTTCTGTAATTCTTCCTTTATTATAGTAAAAAATAAAAACCCCAGTGGTGATTAAATACCACCAAAATAAAGCTCTATCTGTCCCCAAAAAATGGTATAAAATTAATTTCAGTACAGCGTTGCATGACGGAATAAACGTCAGTCAAAGTACCGCAGCGCTGAATACTGAAAAATGGCCTGGCCAGGAAGGGGGTCTAAACACCTGGTCTTGAAGTGGTTGAAGATATCCAGGCTTACAATGTATGAAGAAAACCACTAAATGTAAAATAGTCATTGCAGCCAACCAGACACCATCTTGTTCTAGTTTTTGTTTTCTAGGACTGGCTGCACTTGGTAATTATCTCATTGCTCCTTTTGTTAATTATTGAATAAGCCCGAGTGTTTTAAAGCCATCATAATGCAAAGTGTTCTTTAGATTATAGTGGGCTGCTATTAAATTGTATAGAACTCTTTTCTAACAGTTAAAGGAGAACTATGGGGTCAGGGCTTTTCCCCATAGTTCTCCTAAGGGTAACGGGAGGACACAAACTAGCGTCCTCCCGTCACCCTAAGCTCAGTATACCGCAAGCTTCAGCTGTAGCCAGCTGTACCCGCCCCCTCCCCCGTCTGTTCCGCCAGTCAGCGCTGGAGGATCGGAGCGGGGGGGGGGAATCCAGTCCCCCCCCTGTCACGGCTCTCTGCCGTGACAAGATCGAGATGTGAGCGAACGCCAGTATGTGTTCGCTCACTTCCCAATTTACTGAGCCGACCTGTGACACTTTCATTGTCACAGGTCATCTACCACTATGAGGATGAGGATGGGTGAAAAGCACTCACCTCATAGTTCTCCTTTAACACCTGTAGTACAGTGAGTTGAATGTGACGGTACTCTTACATTTTCGTCGTCTCCCTAAGGACAATCGATGCATTATATCAGCCTGTGCCATTCACTACTCCCACTCTTTTAAATTTAGTCTTTAATGGCATGACTAATGCCTCCAACATTGTGTGAGCGTCTAATGATAAGTAATTGCCTTATTCAATGATCCCTGCCAAAAAAATATAAATTCCAGCTATGCGTTATTTTTCTTTGTGTTCCATTTTTATGTTTTCATAAAGCTGGGCTGTAATCTTTCTGTGCCATGAAAAAGTACACATCATGAGAACAGAAGGCTGAAGCTATAATTTTAATGTCAGCTAAAATGCACTTAAAGAAACTTTATTTCATTTTTTGTGAAAAGGTATCAAATATCAGCTGTTTACCTTTTACTTTTTATTTGATCTACTCTCCTGTCAAAATTGAAAATTAGACTTTGAGATGCACACAAAGAGCACAGCTAACCTGCTGAGTAGTTCAGTTTTCCATCCAGACATTGCTGTACTTCACTCATCCACCCCACTGCTACCTGCCTGTAAAATGGTGAGTCTGGAACACATCATGCTTTCTCAAATGTGAGGAAGAGTGAAAGGCGCTGTGATCTTTGGTTGTAAACTTCCTGTGGACCCGATAAAGGGTAGGAGGGGGCCCTGGAGAAGTCGATTATAACAGAAAAACTGAGGTGCCATCAAACAAAGAAGAGTCCAAAGCAGTAGAAGGGCACGTGCGGACTGCTTCATTTGCCCTTGTATTTGTGGTCACTGTCATTGTAACTTTCCCTTCGCCAAGGAATTCCCCTTTTGAATTACACCTGAAGCCCTGAGTTCAGCTTTAATAAATGTGCCCAATAGAGGCACAGACAGCAACAAAAACATGACATGTGTTTAACCCTTCCCCTCTATGTACAAAACTTTTTAAAAAAAGTTGGGATGAATTTGGGCTTTAATTGGTCTCAAAAGCCCATTTAAACTAGCTTATATGGTAAATTGGGTGAGCAATGTCTACATTTGATATAGTCTGTCTGTTGGTTAAACATGAAAAGATTGTGTGCTAAATAATTAAAACAGCTGATTATAGCAGCACAGTGTATAAATACACTTACAGACTTGCATTCTACGGGGAGTTTCCTTTTGATCCTCGGCCCTAGTTTGGCTCAGATCTAAAGCCAAACGGTTGTATTTCAAATAGGTTGTCAGCTGGTTTATTATTAGATCTGAATCTGAAGATATTACATTCATTTTTTTTTTAATATGTATCTATGTATTTTTGGATACATATATTTGTTTTACGCAGCTCTTCAAGTGTGGAAAGAAATGCTAACCGCAATTTTTGAACCTACATTCCCATCCTAAAAGAATTTCTTTCTTTAAGTGGAGTGGGACAGGGTTCTATCCTCTGTTGGATATTGATTGCTTTCCTAAACCACTGTGACGGTATCTTTGCAGTTCTTCTTCGCAGCTGTGACG